TGTCCTAAATATAATTATGCAACTGAGGGAGGAAAATCTGTAACGGTCAGCAGCATTAAAATATGGAACAATCTCGAAGGATATTAAGACGAAATCTAGCGTTAATTCCTTTAAGTTTGCCCTTAAAAAATACTTCTTAGAATCTTATAAGGGCATCGATCGCTTTGAATTATTATTGTGATCATCAAGTTGTACTGTATATAATTTGTATATATAAATTTATAATCCTAAGATCTTTTACATATTTACTCTAAGTAGCTTTTAGACGTTTTAAAGTAGAATTAATAACTTTGTATGTATTGTATATGAGGGCCACAGGTTTTTCAGCTATATTGCTGTCATGTGTTTCTACCCTCTTTAAATAAAGTTGTTCATTCATTCATTCAAACTCTAAGCGTGCAAAGCATGAGGGAGCATCATTAAATCAATTTAGAAATCATATATGTATGGGGCGCATTTCTTAGAGACATGGTAAATATCTTCTTACCAGAACAATTCATTCACAAATATCTACAATATTCAACTACTAAGCTTCAAACTTGTGCTCCCATTAAGCTTTGCGCGCTTAGAGTTTAAGGTTCAGAGTTTAAGGTTTTTCAAAGGACGACCTATTTTGAATTGACTGTAACACATTGACATCAATTGTTAGGGCTATGAAAGGCTTATCCACAGAAAAGAGCGATAAATTTGAAACATTGAAAGGATTCTTAAGCCCTCTGAATGTGGACTCTGACGTGGACACGGATAACGAAGATGGCTTAACCGCTTCCGATGTTGAACACCAGAAAGCACTGTCTGCCGCCATCGAACAGGAGGCAGATCTTTCCAAAGAATACGAGATAGAACGTGAAATATTCTTGGCCTCCACCATTGAACACGAAGAGAAACTCGCGAAGGAGAAGGCCGATCAAGAAGCGTACGTGAATGCAATGAAAGACGTTGACGATGAAGAAGAGATGACGGAACCGACTGATGAACGTGGCAGAAGCAAGGAGGGGAAAAATGAAGATGAAAAGGTAATGGACTAAATTTCGATCTAGGCATAAAGAACAAAATCCAGCAAGTTTTCCTTCGCGACCAGTCCAACGTTGTGACCGCTCTGAGCAAAATTCTGCATTTTGCAAGTGGGCTGTCTTGCCATATAACAAAAACAACGTTACTACTAAAATAAGTTCTTTGTATGTTTGCATGGCGATAAAACATATAATAGTTTTGTTTGTGGAAACACTACGTAAATGTATTACATGCAGTAATAAATTTACGTGGTGTTTCCACAAACAAAACTGTTAAAAACAACCACTGTATGATAGAAAATTGTTTTAATTTTTATGTTTAAAATTCAGAATCCTCAAGGTTCATTGACAAGACAGTTGACTTGGGAGGAGATGATTGCTGAGTATGACGGTAAGGATTTCTAGCGTGTTTTAAGCAGAGTTCACTGGTTTTAACCACAGAGAAGAGATATACAGAGATGAAACTCGCGGCAAATTATGTCACGCCGATATATTCAGTTTATTAACTATTTTATTAAATTTTGATAATGCAGAGGAATACGGTTATATTTTGAGGAATTTGTATCATTCGCTGCTTTGTTATTTATACATGAGCATCTGAAATTCCCAGCCAGTGCATTTCACGATTTTAATAAGGAGTGGATAGGGAAAAACAAACTTTTGCAAAATAAAATGTAATATCTTATACTTTCTGTAAGTACACGGCCTAATGAAAAGCAACGACAACTTTGTAAACATTTTTTAGTTGATTAGCTACCGTGTTAAAATATGTTTTAATAAGTAAATAAATAAATCTCTTCTTAATTGTCATGTGTATGTGTATTTTAAGTTCGAGTCCATCTTATTTTCTCTCCTTTGCAGAGAAAAACAAACGAGAAGGTTCTCCAAGTTGGGGAGACATTGTTGAGATGTCAGAAAGTAGACCACCAGGTCGAGCTGTTCAAATGCACAAGAAGTTATCTTCTCCATCAAGAAAAAGGTTTGCCTTTATCTCATATTGTGATTAACCCCTCATTGTCATCCGAATCAGGCCGATTATTGCGTTTTCGGTAGATAATCGGAATTTTTCCGTTTGCCAAAGCACGAATTGCTTAGTGGGTTGAAATTTTTTTCTTTTGTGATAAAATGTGATTTACTTCTTCTGATGCATGTGAACGAGTAGATGAGTTATGAATATTCTGAGAATATGTACCCTCATCTCAGTGAACTGTAATAACACTGGAACGCTAACTCCAGGTAAACATGCCCATACTTGCCCGAAGCCAAGATGGCGCTTCTCGCAAGCTCAGCGAGCAATAAATTAACTTTCAAAAGGACTGGGGAGAGTTTCGAGGAGCGGGAAATTCAGTCAAAAGTTTGTTTTTGAACGAAAATCAGCAAGAAAAAGCACTTTTTTATCGAAAGTCTTCAACTTTAAAGATTCAAACCTGGTTTCCTGGATAGTTCTAAGTATTTTACATCCACTAACAGCAAAAACTTCCCGGGTAACAGCTTGATATTCAAAATATTACACAAGTTTGAACGTGCCGAAAAAAACTTCGCACTTTGGCTCCTGAAAAAAGAACTTTATAACTGCTCTACGTTCTGGAAACATGTTTTGTATTAAATTTCAGGTATTGTTGAAAGTTTTTAGCTTTTTTCCTTGTTGAAATACAGCTATTTAGTGGTCGAAAACAGACATCTTTTAGGCGGCGTATTTTCCACTCCATACCTACATGGCGGCCATCATGAGTGGCTTCAAAGATGGCGGCCAAGTTATCGTTCCAGTTCCCTTAGAGTTCACTGCCTCATCTGAACATTCCTAACTCATTCACTCGTTCACATCCATCAGAAGAAGAAAATCGCACCTAAAATCGCAGCAAGTGTAACCGAGCCTTAATATGTTTCAGGGATCTCACGGTTGGAGTGCAAAAGCAAGCTGAAAAACAGGTTCGTATTTGTAAAAGCATGCAATTTCAAATGCTGTTATATCTTTGTGCTATTATATCTTTGTATATCGTTATTATCTTAACGTTGGTGTTACTTTTTTAAGGCAAAAGCTCGACAGCTTAGGGAACAATTTCTCGATGACAAACGGCAACATCTTCAAACACTTTCAGAAAAGGTAACTCGTAACTGAATAAACCAACTGTTTCATTATTGTTCTTTTGAATTTGTCAATTACAAATAGTTAACTGAACGCATTGACTAGATTAAGTGGATTTTTACTGGATTGTTCCTCAGCAGTATTACTGCAGTAGTTAGCTGACTATCTAGCCTGCGCGCAGACTATATAATGACATATATATGTCATTATGTAGTCTGCGCGCAGGCTACTGACTATCCTACTTTGATATTTAACAAAAATGTAGGTCGAGAGAGCTCGCGACCTAAAGATGATATTGATTGGCGAACAAGAACTTCATTTAAAGGAAAAACAACGTCGTGCTGAAGAGAAACGTAATATTAAATTAAACGAAAGAGTTCGCAAAGCTCAAGAGGAGGAAGCTAAGGTATGGATAATTTCGAGAACTTTTGAAATTAAAAAAATTCTGGAAAATTTAATTTTGTGAAACTCATTAATAATTCATGAAGAAAAAGAAATTGAGCGTGAAGGAGTTTATATATCTGATACAGAATCAATTCTGTTTGAAGGTGAATGAAATTGCGTTCATTAACACTCTGGAGGCCCAAAATAAGAAAATGGAAGTCATGTCAAGACACCAGGTATATTACACAAATAATCACAAAAACATCGCAAAGTTACAGCGTTCTACACTGCGAACAAATCTCGAATAGAAATTTTATTAATTTATGTATTATGGCAAAACCGCAACAGTGATTGGGAAGCTTTTAACCTTGGGGTTTAAACCTAACAAGCTTCTTGTTGGTTTAAGATGGCTCCCCATAATTTTTGAAATATGGAAAATGTATTACTTTCAGATCATACTATTATATGACTTGTCGAAACATGCTCTAAGAGTTGGACATGGTACACAAAATATGACGTCACTATCGTTGCTATGGTAACAATGACGTTTCTCTATATGACCTGTTTTGAACATGCAAGGGGGTGTCCTAAATAACGTGCAGATAGTATGCGTAATAAGATTTTACAGATTTCTTAGAATTTAGATTTAGAATTTACAATTTGTTTCCTGAAGGATCACGAAGCTCGCTTGCAAGATCTTCAGGAGGAAAGACAGCGAAAACGAGGTGAACAACAAGCAAAGGAAACAGCAGCTTACGTAAGAATTTTACATTACTCATTGGAACTGCCAATGCCGCGAATTGCAATGTGTTTCAAGCATAGATATCTTATATACACTAGATAGTGCATCTAATTATTCTGCAATTCAAAATTTGAAGCCGTGATTGCAGGCTCAGGATATTCCCATGAAATGAGAAGATTCGTATGTATCCTATTTCTTAAACAGGGAACTTAAACATTAAGTTAATCCTATTATAAATACATTTTCAAACTATTCAAATGATGAAAGTTATTGTTATTTTTTAAGTGTTTATTAGCGAGTGGGAAGCTCCAACATGGCCGCCATCTATTCAAATGGGGGTAACCGCTGGAATATTCTTGGCTTCAATTTTACTAAAAGAGATGCGCTATCTAGTTTATATAAGATATCTATGGTTTCAAGCAAGAGAACCTGCTTCAAGCCAATCCGTGCGGCACTTTTCTTTTTAGAAATTTTTTGTCAACCGAATTGTCTTTCTCAGTCTCTCTCTCCGATGATTCGTAATAGTTAGTCTGTTCTCTCCTTTAAGCACCAACTCTACACGCACTACTCTTCTCACTTAGATTCTTCTTTTGATTTACACTTATATGCCGTTCCTGCATGACCTGAAATTTAAGCTCTTGCTCTTAAGCTGTCCTATATTTTATAATTGTGTAAATAGTGTTGTAATCCTTGGCCGCTTTAATTTATGTCTATACTAGTGTTTTTCGTCAGTTTGGTCTTCACATGGGACTCGTGTCTTGTTGACCATACCTTCAATCATGCATGTTTAATTAAAGTGTTGCTCACTTTTTTCAAAACGTTTACCACGGTGGGAAAAAAAAGACAGCAAATTAGGTCAAGTTTTTATAACGTTCTGACTTTAGTTTGGAATATCACGAAACTTTCTCACAAGATAGAACTTGCTATTCCTAAAAATCGTATCGTTTTTGTTTTTCGATTTCGTTACATTTTGGCGGGAAAATAACGTGCCAACTTTGGCGCCGAAAAAATAAACACGAGCTAAGTACATGCTAGTAACTTTTTTGATGAGATTGTCCTATAAGGATCTAAAAACTGTAAAAACATTCAAAATACGCCAAAGCAGTTCCAAGATATGGTGCTTAAAATTCTGAAAAATCCGCCATTTTGTTACTAAAAATAGATTTTTTTTCAAATCAAAAATAGCCATATCTTCGCACTGCCCTGTTGTATTTTCAATGTTTTTACAGTTTTGAGATCCTTATAGGACCGTCTCATCAAAAAAGTTACTAGCATGTTCTTAGCTCGGGTTTAATTTTTTGGCGCCAAAGTTGACACGTTATTTTCCCGCCAAAATGTAACAAAATCGAAAAACAAAAACGATACGATTTTTAGGAATGGCAAGTTCTATCCTGTGAGGAAGTTTCGTGATATTCCAAACTAAAGTCAGATAGTTATAAAATCTTGGCCCAATTTGCTGTCTTTTTTACCCACCGTGACTTGCAATAATCTTATGTTATTTTTGAATATGGTTGTAAAGGCCCATCTACACGACACAACTAGTCGTATACGATTCGTATTCTGGCGTATGAAAACGATTGTTGACGCCACTATTCCTGTTTATCAGTTTATGGCGAAGTTTGAAATGTGACTTTTTTACATGCATTTATTCGAATACATACGCCAGGATAAGAATCGTATACGACTAATCGTATCGTGTAGATGGGCCTTAAAGTTCATAAATAAATTAATAGACAAAGCAAGCTGTTTGGTCTGTTTTATTTTTTATCACGTCTAGGAAAGACGAAAGCAATTAGAAGCGGAGAGACAAGCAAGACTTGAAGAAATGAAACAAAAGAGGCAGGATCAGGTTAGAATTAATCAAAACAAGTTTCTTTAAAGGACATTGGCAAAAAATAGTTTGTCTCATAATCGTAATTTAGATATAATTGCTTGATCATTGCATCTTAGGAAGCGAAATTTCTGAGAGAGAAACAAGAAAAAGAAAAGGCGAGGGAAGAGGCAGCGAAAGAGAAAGCAAGGTGTTTTATTTATTGGTTTTTACATTTTAAATCTGAAGTAAGATTATTCAGTTCTCAAAGTCTTTTAAAATTAAAATAACTGTATGGTTGTTGCATGGCAAACTCTCCTATGGCGTTTGCATTTCCGTTATTTGCATGTTCTGAAGGTAAGTCTAGCGAAAAACTTATTACGTACGTTCTGGAAGTACGCCAATATTACAGTCTGGTTCCAGCTACCCTAGCTATCTGCGTACTTAACCTTTTGCTTGTACATGCATGTGACCTTTCCAAGACCTGGTTATTCAAAACTAGAATTTAGTCGGAATATGTGTAAGTCTGACATGCCAAGGCATTAAAACATGATTGGACTGATGTGATGAGATGGAACTAAGGAATGAAGTGGAGTCGATTGTTGTGTATATGCAATTGTGCTCATTCATCTATAACTCATGGTTTAATGTTACGGAATCAATCCCTTTCGGAAACCTGTACTTTATGTACTTCATTCTAAAGACTAAATACACCTTGAGTCTTAAGTTTGTACCAGCTCAAGTACGCGGCAATAATCAATGGAGTACCAGTCAGGTACGACTAAAAATTTTGAATTATCGCACGCAGAAAATGGCCTTTCTGAATTATCATATTATGCCAGTTGAATTAAAGCGATCATTTGGAGCTCTATCGAACAAAACTCACGTCAAGTCGACCTATATATATATCGTGATAGGAAAAGATGTTGTCGATAAATGTGGACAGCATGAGGATATATTAAATAGTTTATTTTTCATTCAGAGAACGGGAACAAAGACTTGCTGCGAGGAATGAAGCTTTACAAACAGCAGCCGAACAATTGCAGTTGAAGATTAAACACAAGGTGTGGTAGAAAGATACATTAGAATCCATTCCGTGACACAGGCTAAGGCCAGTTGTACGAAGGCAGGATAGCGACTTTTCCAAGTTTCCTGAAATTGTCTGTTGATTGGTATTCGTGCAACCGGACCTTAGAGTCCCAATGCAATGCAAAATGTGTTTAATAAATGTTTTAACATTTCCAGCAGCAAGAGTCGACGAAACGTCACGAACAAATCTTGGAACTCGTTAAAGAGAAGGTAAGTATGCTATTATGTGTAACACGAACGTTTGCTTTGCTTGGGCCAAAGAAAGAAATACCTGGGTTTCCGGTTTTCCGACCCTACCATGAAATCACCGCGACCCTAATCCTTTTATCCGATGTTTGCAAAGAGCTTGGAGCAATTTTTCGTTCTGAGCCTTCGTGGCGTTGGTTTTGCACTAGCTGTATAAAGACTAAGTACAACCTGTTTGTTTCAAAGTTGATATAATATTTAAAATGCGTGGGGTTTTTTTCAGGCTGCGGGAGCGTCTCGACATTCAACGCAAGATGAACTACCGACTGTCACACCGTATGAAAGAAAGAAGATTTGTACATTGTGCAATGTTCAGGTATATAAACATGGCAAGCCTACGCAGTATCAATGCGAGTATTCACTTTTTCGTCGATGGATTCAGGTTTCTTCGCCGATGTCCGACATTTTGCAGCACTGCTGGAGTTGAACAAACTCCGGCTCCGGCAAAATGGGACAAAACTCCGGCGCACAGCACTACAGCTGATGTATGCCCGCAGATTGCATGGGCACAAACATAGTACGAAATGTTCATGCGAAGTGTTGAAATCAGTGTTTCCACAATGCATCATTCAAATTTCCTTGATTTTGCTTTAAAATTTCCTTGAATTTCCTTGAAATGGGATGTAATTTCCTTGAAATTTCCTTGATTAACTGAAGTATACTTCGGCAACTAGAATTCATCAATACTTTTTAATATAGATTGAAGTAAGACAGAATGGTATATTTCTTTCGTAGTAATTCGTACACATCTTAAAAAGAAAGCCTTTACACAACAATTTATTTTCTCAAAAGTCAACAAATTCACATGAGAAATAAATTCATATAAATTCGCATGACAGCCATAGTGGGGCAGTCGGGCAATATTCGATCAACAGTCGGGCAATTTTGGTTTGTAATAAAAATAAATTGGACAAATTCTGTCAATTTAGTCGGAAATTCAGTAAATTTTGTGTTGTTTGGAAAATTTGTTTGATATTTCGAAACATTTTGGTATTTCCGTAAAAAATTTTTGACCCCTAAAATGGTACACTGACCGAAATTTTTTTGGCGACGGGGGGGAAGGAGGTCGCCGAAATATTTTTTCCGGGAAAAATTTTTTCGGTACTAGTCGGGCACAATCCCGAAAAGTCGGGCAAATTTCTTTCCGCCCCCCTAATTTTTTCCTTCCGGTACGCCCATGATGACAGCGAACACGTGGTGGCCTGCACGCAGTATGTTACCTGATTTCCACCTAAAATTCAGGTTGTTGTGCTGCCTACTTAGTTTAATTAATATTACTCATATATTACTCAGCTTTATTGCTTGCACGGAAAACAATATTTGCCAAGAGTTAAACCATGCACATGAGAGTTTCTCATCTCCACTAATCTTCTTTATTTGAACACAGATTGTATCAGAGGTGTATTTAATAAGTCATCTCCGTGGTAAGAAACATCAACTGGCATTGGAGGATGTACAGAAAGGGAAGAAAACTGAAGACAATGTAAGCTTTTATTCTCATCTATACCTTTCATACGGACTGATTATCCAATTTAAATTTTTTACCTTTCCCTTTTAATTTTTCAATTAAAAGGGATTTAAATTTTTTAAATTTTTCTTGAAATTTGAATTTTTCAATTTAATTTTTTCCCTATCCCTTCCATCACGGCAGTCAGAGGTGACCTTAGGAGCTGTTCATATGGAGCCGGGCTGACCCGGGATGATTCGTTTAATAAAGCTCTCATCACAGCTTTGATAAACATTCAAATGACATTTCAAAGTTGAATTAGCTCATTTTGATTCCAGTAACAGTATATAAAGTTCATTCAAACGATCGTTCGGCGGTTTATGGTCAGGAAAACATTTTCGTGACACGATTCATCACAGTTAGCTGGTAGTGAACCTGTTAATAACTGGACCTGCTCATAGGAACAGCCCTTTAGTAAGCCTTCGACTCGATCAGGTTGAGCTGCATCCTCCGTCATACAGTTCAGCTCTCAGCGCAGATATATAAGGATGATTAGCACAGGCAATTTTCCAGGCAATTTTCAATATGGCGGTCAGCCATTTTCCGAGCAAAACGCCAATACGGTCGTCTACTGGACTGGTTGCTCTTTATACAGACGTCATTTTAGAATATAGAGTGATCATTTTGTCACATAATTTAAGTTTTCGAACACAAGTTTTTAGAATTATGTTGAACTCTGTTTCCAGGAGGCATTTTCGCTGCAATATATCAAGGATATGGGTCTCGATAAGATTGATGACAATGTTAAGGAGTGTGAAGAAAGAAAGTCTGCGTTTAAGAAACGAGCCAAGAAAATCAGAACAAGGATGGCAGCACGGTAATACATTTGCATTATTTAAAATGTAAAATTTTGATATTATGAAAGTCGCAGAACCACCTGGTAATCAATATGTTTAATATTTGATGGCAGAATTTTTAAATATTAAAAAAATTAAGGGGGGGGGGAGGGGGGAGGATGCAGCGGTGTAGCTTACGGCCCCCATGACACAGTGTAGACATGCAGGGTCTTACCTAGAGGGCCGTGTTGGCCGTGTTATCGCGGCCAAAAACAGTAAAACCCGGCTAGATAAAATGAACGCGGCTTCATTATTTATATAAGGTCGTGTAGGTTCATAAAATAAGGTGTTCCTACTTACAACAGACAGAATTTCGTCCAATTTACGTCGTAAGAAAGTTTCTAAAATCTACTGTAGTTGTTGAAATAGGAAAAAGTGATCCGTGATGTTTTAATGTTTTGATGGATAATGAGAACCATATGGTATTAAAATGGGTTTAAATACCCCCAAGAGTTGCTGAAATAACTTAATATTTTAATGTCAGTACGCAATGTGAGCTAGCCTTGTATTTGGTTGCAAAGCATACAACAACCACATGCAGACATTGTCTGTTGTTGGTGAGCATAACTACAAATATGCACACCCTGGTCATTTAGAAACACGCCCAAGATCTAAAATCCTAGCTAAGACCCCGGTGTAGACCCTAAATAACTGAAAAATTTGTCAATTTTTCACATTGATCTATCATTTAACCTTTCCCAATGGGAGATGCAGGACTTTTCAGGGGAGGTGCATAAAGATCTAAGGAGAGGTGCGAACCTCCACGCATGTCCCCTCATCTTACCTCAAAATCCGGCCATGATATTCAATTATAGTCAATTAATTATATATAGAGCGAGAGGTGTAAGTCGTATACTATCTCGTGATCATTCAGGAATTATTTTCTTTATTTATAACTTGGTTGGTGTACCTTATAGTGGACGGGAATATGAAGCAACTCTCAGTAACGTTTCAAAACCTCAGGAATCCAGCAAGAAATCAAAGTATGTAGCAACGTAATTTCGTAAATTACAATGTTTTTCACAGAACTGCGTAAAAGACCTTCAAACTATGTTGACCCAGCATCCAGTGTGGATTCTAATTGCCGAACAAAACAATGGCCGATCAGTCGATTTTATTCCGTACGGAGAAAAATAAAACACGCAACATATATTATTTAATCAGTACTGTTCATAAAGCATAAAAACGAGAGAAGGAACACAAGATATTTTCTTGGCTTGACAAGTAACAAAATCACGTCACAAGTTTATGGTAGCAGAAATGCAGAAAATTAGACAACAATAGGGCCACTTATACGGAACAAAATAAGACGCGACTTACATAAGACGCGACTTAAGTAAGACGCGAGTTTGTCGTATAAGAGGTACAAAATTCTTATGTAAGACGCGTCTATCCAAGACGCGTCTTACATAAGAACAGGTCTTTTAGCTGTTCTTATTTAAGTCGCGTCTTAAATAGGAAATTTTGGGCAAAAAGTCTGACTACACATGCCAGAAACTTGAAACAACGTAAAATTATTAGCCTTGCATATTAAAACAAAAACAACCAAAACAACATTATAGCTATAGCAAATAAATAAGACCAAAGCCGTAGAGAACCATTTATGCGATAACTCCGCTTATTTAAGTCGCGTCTTATGTAAGTCGCGACTTATTTAGTTATTTTGTTCCGTATAAATGGCCCTAATATCCAATGAGAGCGAGAACTTTTGCTTGCATGGATCGTTGGTACTGCTTATCGAAAGTTGATGTAACATTCTGATTGTAGGCTTCAAAAAGTGATCAAAGATCTGGACAGATACTTGAAAACTCAAAGCACAGGTCCATGGGCGGCAAATAGAGTTGCAGCGCTGGAACGTTCGCTCGGAGAATTATCTCGAATGTTGGAGGGAAAGGTATGTTGTGTAATACCATAATTCATAAATAAGCACTGCATGGTATCCACACATGTTTACACCAGCTAGCATATACTTATAACTTGCTTTCCTGTACAAACCACTTAAAAAAACATACAGGGCTTTCGTGTTTCTTTGAGACCGATTTTTGTTGACCCAACAATTAAAACGTCAAAATGTCTCTTTTAAATACCCACCCGTGGCCAAAAACTTTACAAAAAAATACTGTCAGTCAGTTGTCACACGTGTACTTTACCACTTCTGTGACATATTTTCTTCAGTCTAAAGAGTAAAGTTTCATGTTGTCTGAGAAACTCTGTTTACGTTTGTGATCTAAGGATTGTTTCTGGGTTATCTAGGTTATTGCTGACCAAGTGACCTTTTGCTACCTTGGTGGTCTGTCTACATTATCTCGGATATTGCTTTTTATAGACATGACTTCCGATACACAGAAATCATTCTTACCTACCAAGTAAGTGATTTGCGCAACCATCATATTTTATGTCACCGCCTAAAGAAAAACAGGTTGTTGAAATATTATTGATTGATTACCATTACCACAATACAGACGTTAAGATACCCGCGGTTTACGGGTATACGGGTAGTATCATTTTGTATTACGAAATACGATCGGCATTTCTATATACTCAAACATACCGGTGGATACGATCAAATGCGCTTTACATCAAGTATTAGATACGTTTACATCCTTTTAAAGCCTGGTTTCCATATGGTCGT